AGAGAGATTTGACTTATATTCTCATACTTTTGAGGTCTCTCACATTAATGGTCATTGTCTCAGTTATTTCATTTGGAACAACAAAGTACCATTTTAGGAAAACAGCCTGAAATGATCTCAAGCAATATTTATTTTTGTTTTTAAGAAAGTCACCATGACAGTAAAGAAGGAGATAAAGATATTTAAAACAGATTTGATGATAATTATTCTTGAGGTATGACTTCATTATTGCAAGGGTTGGAATTACACAATTTTAGAAAACCACACTTCATGGACTCCAGTGGTTGTAAATAAGCCCTTTAAAGAGCACTGGAAAAAACCATATAGTAAGTAATTAATATGTAGAGATCATCACTGTAGAGTGAGAATTTATGCTTGGGGCTCAAATTTGCAGCATCAGCAGATTTTTGAGAAATGCGTTATGAACAACTTGCAGAGAATTCATAATGCACTACTCTCTATTAGATAATTACAGAGTGGGTCCAGTGAATGCAGACAAGGATGTTAAAGGTGCATAGAGAGAGTTTTAACAAAATTGTTTCATGAAATATGAGGATGGAAAAATTTTTTCAAGTATAAAATATTTAGAATGAAATGAGATTTAAAATATGTATATATAACAATAGAGTTAAGTGTCCTAGGTATACATTACAATATATTATCCATCTGTGCACTTAGGTTGACTGAAGACTGTGGCTGAGGATCTTTCCATTAGAAAAATGAAGATGACTTTGTATTTGGGGTCACCTTATGTTTGGGCAAATGCGCTTTTTATTAATGCAATGATTTGATTAACGACTGCCTTTTTAACTACACAGCAAACTTCACGGGAGCACAGCCTCTCTTATTATGGCTCTTGTAGCGTCTCTGGCATTTTGAATGGGGTAGAGCACTGAATACATTAGTTGCTTGAGAGATAAGGAAAAAATATTACTTATTTACCTAATTGTATAACTTAGAAAACAGTTGAGAAACTAAAACAGAAACTTTAATAACAAGGATCGTAATGAAAGATAAAATGTTTTGATACGTTTTGCACTAGTGTTAATCAAGATGAGAAGAGTCCTTTTTACTCTTTATAAATATCAAAACCCTTAATTATTTCCTTTTATTCTCTAGAAATTTAATGGTTCACATTTATACAATAATTCTGAGTCCTGTATTCATTACAGTTTACTCACTGGGAGATTCCAAGTTCAAAAAAGCCAGTCTCATCAGTGTTAGACTTAACGAGAAAAGGATTAAAAGAACTACTACTTCTTGAGCACTTCTATCCATTATTTCAGTTAATCCCCAACAATCTTATGAATTACCTGTTATCCTCATTTAAGAAGTAGGGGAAACTGAGGCCTGGTGAGTTTAACAGCCAATGGTTACCACTGGTCAGATATTGTGATAAGATCTTTACATGCAGTCTCATTCAATTCCCACGACTATTATTACCTCTAATTTACATTTGAGAAGACAAGGCAAAGAGTGGATTAGATAAAAAACTAGAGTATGAGTGTCAGGATTTGAGCCCAGGCAGCCTGTCCCTGATCTCCCCTGATAAGCACGTAGTGAAGATAGGAGGAGGCAGTGGGAACCTGGAAATGGATTTATTACGGGATGTGCAGTATGTGCTAGAAAGTGAGGTCTTTCTGTTTTTCTTGCTTGCCTTTGTCCCTGTCCTCCACAGTAAACTGCTCACCGTTTAGTAGCTTTCTTGTTCGTTTTCTTAAGACATATTCATTGACTCTTTAAAGGAAACATTTGGCTACTGTTGTTGGTGTACGTAAGATGGTTGCATAACAGGGAGGAAACAAGCCAGGACTGGAGACTTCATTTCTAAAGAAGGATTTTTAAAGCGGACTAAGAGTTATTTCACGGAGAGGATTGTGAGACTTGAGTCTCTCTATCATCGCTCTGATGGCGGCCTGCTCCTGCTCGATGTAGCCAGAAAAAAGGGGCTGACATTTCAATGCTAAGAACATCGGGGAGAGGTTTACAAAAACAAAAAACAAAAAAACAAAAAACAAGCCCTTTGCTTGAATTTCAGTTCGAGAGGAAAAAATACCCCTAGAGCAAGTCAAAACCCCTATTCTTGCCTTTAGAAAAGATAAGAAAGAAGAAATGTTGGGGGCCTTCTCCTCTGTCCAAGTAGGCCAATAAAACAGAATTGAGCGCAAAGCAGCATTTTGCCTCAGTCCTCTTAATGGCAGTCTGTAACAGAAAGCTTGCTTTGGTTTCATTTGACTTGGCCATTAAGAAGCAACTAATTGACGAAGCAGTAAAGACTCTCAGTAATAAATACTTCAGGTCGAGGCCCCTCAGGGGAATACAGTAGTGTCAGGTTTATTTTTCCATTTCTTAGGATTAAAAAAAAGACAATTCAAAGAAATATTTCCTTCTTGACCTCCAATTTTACTGTCAGAAAATTATTCCAAGTGAATAATCAAACACTTTCTCTCTGTATAGCTAGTACTCTGCCAGGTGCTATACCTGACATTAAAAAAAAATCTTATTTAATTCCTACAACAACCCCCTTGTGGGTATTATTATCACTATTTGCTGAATAGTGGGTAAACTGAGTCCTGGAGGTGTGAAGGGACTGCCCAAGCTCACTCAGCCAGGATTCAAACTCAGTGGTGTTAGACACTGAAACCCATGCTCTATCCACTCTGCCACGCTGACTCAGAGGCATAGACCTGAAATTGACATTTTATTACACAGCAAAGTGTCTAAGTACAAGGAAGAAACCCTGAGGGAACACGTAGAGTAAATTCCCTTTCTACAGAGTTCCACTTGGAAAGTATAGGCGGCCTTGTGCTTTGATGTTAGCTGTGATTGATGGATTGATTCATATGTATCAGCCATAGCTGTTCTCCTCGCTTAATTATCACAACAAATCTTTAAGGTAGCAACTAATTTTATGATCCCCATTTCCACAAATGAGGGGACTGAGGCTCAAAGAGTCATTTGCCCAAAGTCACCGAGCCTGGGAGAGCCTGGGTATAAACCAGATCTGTGTATTTCCAGAGCCCATGATCTCACTCACTTTATCACACCATCTCCCAATCAGTCAAGACCACACACTCTGTTCCCCAGAGTTCTGACTGTCTCTCGATGCCCAAGACAAAAACCAGGCTAGCCTCAGGTAGTACTACCTTGCAAGCTCACCTTTGGGGGAAGATGCTGGGTGGCCCCTGTATGAACCAGACCCTCACCTAATTGGACATCTCTTTGGCAGCTAGGGCTGCTGGGGAAGTTCTCCTGGATTTGTGGGGCCCCCTTTTCCCTCACTGGAGGTTGTTCCAGGATGATATGTTAGTGAAAAGGGCATCTGAAGTCTTAACAACAGTCACTCATATTCTTGGTGGAAAAAGAGTCCCAACATGTTCTGGACATTGTGCTAAACTTAACTAAAATAGCAATGTTTGTGTACAGTTACGTATCAACTGAATAAAAATAACAAGCAGTCAGGAGGAAATGAGATGAATAATGTTCTAGTGTTTCCAGACATATCACTATTCATTTCATTTCTGTCATCCCTATTTATTATTTTTACTTAGTTGATAAGTGAAACTGCATGAGAGGCTATTGGGGATTAAACCCCAAAGGACCTGGAAAGGAAACCCCAGTACTCCAGTTGCTAAATGGCTGTTCAAAAATTCTCTGAGAGAAAAAAGGCAAGATTCATTAATAACATGTACCTATTCTTTTCCAAAATGTAGAAAGCAGCATTGCTTGATTGGATAATCAGTATATGAAACAGATTGTTGTGCTTTGCTGGATCTTGTTGAATGGACAGAAATATAAACTTAAATGTTTCCTGGGAGGAGTGTCCTTTAAAAAAAAAGTCATAGTTAACAATAGTTATAACCATCAAAATTTAGCTGAATGAGTTGTGGACTGAAAAATGCTGGTATCCATGAGAAAGGGGAGAATTGAAAAAGAAAGATTTCTGCTGAGTTGGACGTAGTGAACATTTCTATTCAGTGTACTTAGGCCCTGGGCCAGAGGAGAGCTTCGATACAATGCCAAGGTGACATATTTAACCTCTTTTCAGATTAAAGGCAGTTCAAAAGAGATGCTCTCTCTGCACTACCTCTTGGGTATGGTATCAACAGCATTGATCTGCAGTTAAACACGTGGTTTTCTCCTGCAGGGTGACCCCTAATATCTAGGAGAAATGAGGGAGCATGACTTGCATTATTGTTTTGTTTTAGAAGATAGAGCCAGACACGAAGATACCTTAAAGATACAGGAGTTATCATAATTTTTTAGCTCTTTGATTCCCCTCCCTCCTTTTCCCCTTCCTAAAGAAGGTATCAATAGGAATTAGAAATTGTGTGTGTGTGTGTGTGTGTGCGCGTGCGCGCGAATCTTAAAAATGATCAAAGGAGAAAAGAAACAATGAGTCGTAAAACTGTAAAAGGGCATCAGGAAAAAATTATAGTCACAATAACTAAAAAATAATCAAAGAAGAATATAGTATTATAGGGATTTTCTTACCTCTTGGAAAAGCAAAATGCTCCATTTCTACATTGCTGTTAGTTACAGACTGGGAAAATGATGGTGATTGACTAACTTCGGATAATTTAAACATGGAAAACACTCAAGTTACTTTGATCTGAAAGATTTTTTAAAAAAGCTATCTGCCCTTTGATTTATTTAATATATTTAGTAAAGCGTTTCTATAAAACACATTTCCAGATTTCAGACTTCACCAAGATTTGAATGCTAGTCTGACCAACCATAGTTCTACATTTGTCTTCTTGGTTTACACTAAAACCATCATTTATTAGTACCTACTATTTAATCTTGGAGAAGAAAAGGAAGCATGAATTCAGTTGTTAAAATTCCCTCTTAAGTAGGTTTTCTGTAAATCATGCAAAGGGGTTTTTTGGGAGTAAAAAAATGGCTTTGTATTAGGCGAAAATATTAGACATCTTTATCAGATCATGCAAATCATGTTAACAAATGCAATTAGATGATACAGCAAACTTATTAAAATTTACCTTCAGGTAGGTAGCTGGACCCAGAGCCTTGGCAGAAAATTGAAGTTGAGTCCCCTCTTTGCACACAGCCTGGAAATAAAAGTTTGACAAATATCCAATACTCTTTAAATCTCTTTCCTCGTTAGCTCTGCTTCTTTGCCCAGAAACACATTCAAGTCTATTGGAGTTGAAATTCTGCTGCTCTGTCAACTAGTCAGGGTCTGAGGTGACAGATGAATTTGGAGGTTGGCACTGCGACGTATTTCAGACTGTCATCGTTTTTGTTGCAGATTCCTGCAGTTCCCAGCGGGCTCGCCTCTCACTCCGAGGGCGAGTGCGCGATGAGCTTTACAGGCGGTGCAGACCCACAGGCAAAGAGCTCACTCTGCCCGAGAGAATGGGGTTAACAGTCCTCCCCTCCAGCTCTTGTTCCCAGAGGCTCAGAACTTGGCCAGAATATAAGCACTTGGCTCCTTACGCTTTTTTTTTCCCCTTCCCTTCTCTCTCTCTTCTCAAACAACTCTAAAAGATTTTAAAAGCAAGATCCTTTTGGGGGCGATTTTTATTTCAAGACTTTGAAAAGAAACTCCATGCTGTGGTTTCTTCCTAAAGGAAATTGGGGGCGGGGGTTAAGGAAGGGGAGTAGAATAATTGCAGCAGATGCGTTTTTACATTGCTTATGTAAAAATTGTTCTCACGAATACGCCTGAATCTGATCACAGCAGGGTACTGCAGATACTTTAACCTTTCTTTAAATGACCTTCAGAAATGTACATTGATATGAAGCACCTCTCCTTCCTAGTATCGGTCCCTTGTCTGCCGATTCAGAAATGGTGCAGTTCATAGGCTATTCTTCCCCCAACACAACTCCATGCCGTAACCCTCTATGTAACGATTGGTCTGTAAGAGTTTTCCCAGGAAACAGACTTGCCGTTCTGGTTATTTATATATGTGTCTAAGCTCTTCCACTGCTACTTCTACATTTATTGCACGTTTATGATGTGTCAGACACTGGCTAACAGTGTTTTATGCACCCATTTCAGTTACTCCTCACAAGTCTACGTGAGGTGAGTGTTCCTCCCATTTGATGATAGTGTAGTTTAGTGGGAAGGTCTCCATGTTTGTGGCCATACACGTTGGGTCTGCATTTTGGTCCCTGACTGTATATGACTTGGGACAAGTTATGTAATGTATCTAAGCTTCAGAATCCTTATCTCTAAGATGGGGATGCAGATATGGGGATAATAATGGTATCTATCTCAGGTGGTTCTGAGTTTCAAGTAAGTAAACACCCCCTGCCACCCAGCAGACACTCAGATGTTAGTTATTATGATTTGCATGAGAAAAACAGAGCTTGGTAAAGCTGAGTGCTTTTTCCAGGATCTCCAGCTCCTAAGGTTTGGAACAGGAGTCCTACCCAGCTACCTTGGCTGACTGGTGCGCTTGTGTTTCTCAGCCTCTAGGTTATACCACCTCCTTCTGAGTGAGCTGTGAGCTCCTTGAGGGTGGGGACGTGCCCCCTCTGTATTCTCCATGTGCCTAGCACAGTGCTATGCATACTGTAAGCGTTTACATTAGATAAAGGGTTATGACTTAATTTAACTTAGATTTTTCTATATTTATGCCAAAGTCAGGCCAAAAGCAAAACATTAACAAAAATAAAGAAAGCCCCCACCTATAGCTGTAGGCAAATATGTCTTCAGACAGTTGTCTCCAAGCACTTTAGAAACATTTGTCCTATTTATTTTTCAGAATAGCACAAGAGAAAGGTAACAATAATTATCTCTGTTTTACAGCTGGGGAAATTTGGGAGCAGAGGAAATTGGGCAATTTGCCTAGGAACTGAAAACTAGTCATGGTGCAGCTGGGAACGGTCTCAACATCTCTAGAATCAGAATTACTTGTTTCAAACTGCCTTTCCAGGCACAGGATGAAGTGACGTGATGTCCTTTTGCCTCAGACAATGGGAAGTTTTTCCTTAGCTGAAGTCTAGGGCGTGAGCAGTCTCCTCTGAGTGAAGATCAGAGGGGTAGGCTGTATTTGACTTTGCTTTTCCTCTGCCTACGTGCACATCTGGGTCTCAGAAGTGTGGGGGACACAGGCACCATTTCTCCAATGGGTCCTGAGGGCCACAGGTACAGTGGGACTATTGCAGGTTGTGTAGGACAAGCATTTCTGAAGATTTTGCCCAAGTTGGCTAAAGGAAAATTTGTCTGGGACCAAAAATGTGATCTTCTAACAACATTCCCCATTTATTCAACATAGCTTTGTGAGATTGGTTTCAGGTAATTACATCAGTTCAATGAGAATGTAGAGAAAGTTGTAGCTAGAGAGCTAAGGAAAAATGGTTGGACCCACAAAAATATTTTTTCTAATACTAAAATTGATATTTTATGTTTTTTACAAAGTGATCATGATGAAATTTCTTACACAAATCTATGTTAACATAAAAAGTAACTTGGTTAAAGCAAACTGGACTTATCTTTTAAATGTAAATACGTACCTGGATAGTTCATTTGTATGTGGTAAAGCTGCAGAGTTTTGACTCAGTTATACAGGATATTTGCTCTAGGTCTTATTAATATGTAACATGATTAAAAAGATTCACTGTATTTCTTACAACTAGATAGCAGAGAAAAGTGTTTGTGTGTGTGTGTGTGTGTTTTAATAAAAAGACCTTGAATCCACAAGTTCTTTTAAGTATGACTTTATTTTGGGAATGTTTATGGGCAGATATCCAAACTTTTGTTTCTGAATCTGTCATTTCTAAAATAGATTATAGCTTATGAAACTGAGGACAATAAACCTACACCAATAGCCACCTAACAGATGGTGGCTGTAGGACAGATTTAGTAACTTATCTACTATCTAAATATGATGGGAGAAGTTTGATAAATAAGGAGCCTATTACATTCCTGCATGTGAACTGAATCATGTAACACCAGCATTGGTCAGAAGGGTCTAACAAAAGCCAACATCAAAGTTGAAGTGTTCTTTTCAGCCTTTGAATGCCAAGATTCCCTTTGAGAATCTGATGAAAGCTTTGGGCAAGTTCCTAAAGTTCATCCATGAACCTCCCCTCCCCGAGGGGTTCCATGAGGTTAGAAACCACTGATTCAGGTGAGGGACCAGAGAACACATTCATCAGTCCTCAAGAATTGAATGAGCCTTTTGTTATACACAGCACAAGTCTCTGGGTGATAGGAGAGAAATATCATAGTTCCTGGCTATTTGGAGTCTAAGAGACGAGACATGCACTCATTGTCAGAAGGGGGCATGATTCCCATGGAGTGGTAGAGAGCCCCGGGTAGGAAGTGAGTATAAGTGAAGGGAAGCTGCAGTGACAACAGGGTGTTGACAGTTATCTTGGCCAGGACCTGGCCTGTAGGTCTCTTCTCCTTGCTCATGCCATGTGTTAGTTTGCTGGGGCTACCATAGCAAAGTACCACATGCTGGGCAGCTTACATAACAGAAAATTACTTTCTCACAGTTCTGGAGGCTGGAAGTCCAAGACCAAGGTGCTCTCTGGGTCGGTTTCTCCTGAGGCTTTTCTCCTTAGCTTGCGGATGTCTGTCTTCTCACCGTGTTCTCGCATGGCCTTTTTTTCTTGGCTCATTCACCCCTTGTGTCTCTTCCTCTTTTTGTAAGGACACTAAACCTATTGAATGATCTCATTTAATCTTAATTACCTCTTTAAAGGCTCTATCTATCTCCAAAACCAGTCACATTGGATTTTAGGACTTCAACATATGAATTTTGAGGGGACAAAGTTCAGTCTGTCACACCCCATGTATCTTTCAAACTTTGACATTTATTTCTCCTTGGGCCTTACTTCTGGGAACCACTCTCATTTCTCAGTCCTGGCTTAGTTCCTGACCTCTTTCTATGCAATTTGCCCCATTCCCCTGCACTACCATCATATCCTGGCACTGAGCCGTTTCAGATCTCTCAGCTCTGTATTGGTTATCAACCCACTGAGTCAATTTCTAACTACAGATTCTTATAGGAGTTTACTCTAGCCAGCCTTCCCCAGCCCATAGTTCTGTGGGCTTAGTCATACTCCCTATTAGGTCTTAAGCAGAGGCTTGACTCAAAGAAGTTATTAATAAGTAGGAGAGTTGCAAATATGCATCATATTTGCTAAATATAATGTGATGAGTGTGCTTAACCGAAATTTTTCTCATTGTAACTTTCAAAGCAAAAGAAATAGATAAGGAAAAACTGGTTAGGGCTAGGTGAATTTTGTATGCCAGGCTAGTTGGACCTTTATTCATTAGGTGAAAGGGAACTCTGGAAGGTTAGAAAGAGTAGAAAGGAAACAACATAAAATACTGCATCTATCAGGATACATTATGCTGCAATGACAAAGAACCCCAAAATATCAGGGACTTACAACAAAGGTTGCTTTTTCATTCGTGCTCCATGTTTATTGTAGTCTACTGCAATTCTGCTATACATTGTCTTCACTCTGGGATCTAGGCTCAACACCATGTTCCCTTGGCTGGAGATGAAAATGGCAAACTATGCTTAGTTCTTCAAGCTCCTGCCCGAGTGTGATACACATCACTTCTGCCCAGATTTCATTGACCAAGGCAGGTCATGTGGCCACACTGATTTCAGTGGGGTCGGGAAGTTTAATCCTCCTACAGAGAAGAGAAACCATAGGCAAAAGAACCAGAAAATAGATTCTACTCTCGAAGGGACGGATAGAACAGCCTGTGGGAGAAAAGTATTAGAAAAAAGGGAGAGAGGAAAATGAAAGGGGCAGAAGCAAAGATTTTTTTAAAAATGTGGAGGATAAAAAGATGAGAGGGCAGAAGAGAGAGGAAGTAGGGTAAAAATAAGAGGTAGCTCTATAGAAGATACAAATAAATAACTAAGAAAACTGACAACAGAAATATAAGGGGTTAGATTAGGTTAGAGCAATGCCAATCAAGTGCTTCTATACAGATGTAAGAGTTATGTGTTAGTTTCCTAGAGTTGTCATAACAAATTACCATACACTGGGTGTCTTAAAACAACAGAACTTTATTTTCTCAAAGTTCTGGAGGATAAAAGTCTGAAATTAAGGTAGGCACATGATCCTTAAGAAGGCTTAGGGAAGAATCCTTCCTTGCCTCTTCCTAGCTTCTGGTGGCTCCTAGAAGTTCTTGGCATTCTTTGATTCGTAGTAGCATCATATCAAACTGCATCTATCTTCAAGTGTCCTTCTTCCCCCGTGTGCCTCCTCTGAGTCTTTGTGCCCTCTCCACTTCTTGTAAGGACACCAGTTATTGAATTTAGGTCCGCTCTAATCCAGTATGGTCTCACCTTATTCTGCAAAGACTGTTTTCAAATAAGTCACATTCACAGGTACCGGGGATTGAGACTTGAACATATGAATTGAAGGGACAAAATTCAACTCACTGCAGTTTACTGTCCACCTCCCTTGCCCAA